TTGTCTGATCTTTGCTTTGGTTTTCTCTTCTGTTGATATGACGAATATCTTCCGAGCGTTAGCTGCCTCTTCTTCTTCCAAGCGCACAAATCCATCAGCTCTTTCATTAAGTTCATCCATAGTCTTCGGCGTATTCACTACCAAGCTTGTGTGGAATGGAGTGCTACGAGTCATGGCCAATATAAACGCTTAAACCGCCGTAGAAGGATGACATTCAATCACCATGCTCTTAATAAGGTTAAACCTGGTTAGGAAAGCTTGGAGACGCTCGTCCTCATGCTGTTTCATTGTGAATAGGCTCGAAATATCCTTTGTTGGACGTTTATTTCCATAATATTGGCTTATGAACCAATCACACAAGCTTCAGAAACTATCCACTGAGCCTCTCGGTAAGTTCTTGAACCAATTGAGCGCTGGTCCAGCTAGACTTGTAGGGAAGCACTTGCACATCAAGGAATCATTCTCAGTGTTTAGAGCCATCTTCAACTGGATGTGATATACATGATCAATCGGATCGGTCGTTCCATCGAATAGAATGAAAACGGGAATAGAAAATTTCCTTGGACTCGGAGCATTCAAAATTTCATCAGTGAATGGCGAATCGACCGTCCGAGCTGCTGAACGGAAGGCTTTATTTTCCCTCTGGAACCCCGCGGTTGCTCTCTGATCTACAGATCTCCTTTCTGAGCTGCGATAGTCGAGCATCGCCAGGGAAGGCCGATAAGTCTTTGTGCCACGGCGGTATAGCTTTGCGGTAACCAAACTCCATTGTTTTTTCTCGGCCGAGCATTTCTTGATGCGGATTGAAAGTCATGGCTTCGTTTCGCCTGATCTGTTCACGTCGTGAATCCACATGAGCTGATCCTTCACGATCATCAACACGACGAGGATTTGGCGGCAAATCGTTTGGCCGGACCTCCTCGCGGTGAAGATCTGTCTGATTGTTCCCTACTTCCTCACCATGAAGCGCCGCATCGGCATGTACAACTTCTTCTCCAGTCGGGAGCGGTCGCGGATTCACTGGAACTTCATGACGCTGCATTTCAGTCCTTAGATCTGCATTATCTCTCCTGAGAGCTTCGATCATGCTCATTAAGTCATCAAGTTTCATCTGCTTAACATTCTCTACCGTGTTGGAATTCTCACCCCCAGTCATCATTCCAGAACGGAGCAAAGGCATGAATCACAAATTCTAAGTTAGATCTGAGTTTCGCTGACGCGAATCACGTCAGATCTGGACTCAACTTTTACGAGTTATGCTCTCCCTTCGATAGATTAGAGCTTTTCCGGCGTCTGAGCTTGCTGGATTGAGCCGCGATAGAGTGAATCACAGCTGCGTAAACCTAACGCCAATTTCTCATAATCAATCAAGAATCAAGAACTTCTCAAGAGCAAAACGCAATCTTTTAGATCTGGATTAAACTTTTAGAAATCAAGTTTCGTCGTCACCAATCAGTCTAAATCAACATGACGTCGATCAGACAAGAATCAACTTCCAACGCTTCCCACAGATGGCGCCAATTGAAGATGCAAAGAATTTTCTCTTCTATTTTGACAGAATCTCATTACATTTTCAACTAAAAAATAAATCTCCCCCTTTCTTACTCTCTTCACTGCCCTTTTATAAGCAATTACAAATGCTGCTGGACTATCAGTTTTGGGCCTTCTTTCCAATGGGCTCGGCCTTCTTCGATGGATTCTCCGAGCTCGGCCCATTCTGTGGTGCTCTTATATGGGCTGTATTTCAATTGTTTGCCCCGATGCCACGTCCGCGGACTATAACCGGCCCATATCACTTATTGTATCCTCAATATATATAATAAATATAGAGAGGGGATATTCACATTCTACTTTTCTTTAATTGCACTCCACTTATCTTTTTCTTTAAAAAAAAAAAAAAAAAGAAGAAGAAAAAGGTCCTTCAATTTATTAATGCATTATGCTTTATTTTATAATACCATAACTACCCTTTATATAACTTTATTATTATTATTTTTTACCTTATTTAGTTCCTTTACTATTTTTTTCCCCTGTACTATACTTTCTTTTCTTTTTCTTTTCGAAAGTTCTCTCAAATAAGATAATTTTTGAAGGTCCGGCCTCTCAAAGAAAATAATTTATTCTATACTGATAATTTTATTTTTGCCAGTCAAAAGAGATAATTTATTCGTGACTTTTTTTTGGTGCAATCAAAACAAATAGTTTATTCAACAAAGTTGACTTCTCTTTTAGCCTTTTTTCGTACTTTTTTTTATCTTAACAAAAAAGATAATTTCTTCCATAAAATTTTTGTTTTTTTGGGTTTTTTTCTTGTCAAAAGAGATAAATATTTTAATGGTTACTATTTTTATTTTTGGTCCGGTCAAAAGAGAGAATTTATTCAACATATATATATATATATATATATATATATATATATATATATATATATTTTTGGTCCTAGAAACAAAATATTATTCAAAAATAAATAAATTTATTTTGCCAAAAGAGACTTAAAATATTAAAGATTAGAGATAAGGGGAGAAAATCTGAAAGGACAGTTATGTCATTTAAAAAGTAATAATCGTTTATTTGTAAAGTTAATGTTATAATTGTCATTTCATTAAAAATTGTAGTGTAAACGTAAAAAAATGAAGTGCAAGTAGTGCCTCCCTAAATATAAATATAAATAAAAATAATCAACAAGCAAGGCTTCTTTCACACATGAGGCAAGGGAGGTCCCGTTTGGCATGCGTTTTGTTTTCGCTGTTTTTGTTTTTCGGCTGCTACAGTGTCGATTTTGACAACAAAAGCATATTTGGTGCAGCCTTATTTTATTTTACGCAGTGCTAAAACACTTCGTGAACAGTGGCCCAAAATTAAAACACGAAAAAATTATTTTTTCTTATTTTGACAACTGTTCGTGGCCCAAAACCATATTTTGCATGTTTCTATTTCCGACATTTTTACAGCAAAACATCGTTCTCAAACGTCGCTTTAGATTTTTTTTCGAAACACCCTACAGCAAAAACAGTGTTCCAATTTTAGCCAAAAACAAAACAATTAAAACAAAACGCATTTCAAATGGGCCCACATATCCATTTATCGTGACTTAAAATATTAAAAAAAAATAATAGGAATTTAATTTTCTTTTTCTTTTCCTTTTTCTTTTTCCCTTGTCAAGAAACTCACATATCCATTTATTGTAACTTAAATTCTCACCATCCACTTTACAAAATAAAAAAAAATATTATTAAATTATGACTTAAACCTTTACCGTCTACTTAAAAAAATAAAATAGATACTACTAAACTACAACAATCTTTGTGTTCAATCTTAATTGTCAATATATTTAATTGACAGTTTTATTTTGTTCACATCCTAGCCAACATATTTTGGGATCAGGGCTGACCCAGGTGGTCGCCTAGGGCTTCCAATTTGGATGGGTCTCAAAATTTTAAATTTCCTTATATAACTTATATTATAATTATTTCTTAATACTGTTAAAAATTAATTAATATAGAAATTTAATACTGGGCCTAAAAAATTTATATCCTAAAATAACTTTTTATATTCACTTTTTTAATTAAACACTAAGTTGAAATTTGACATTTAAAATATAACTACTGCTTGTATTAAACTACGTCAACTAATTTAAGTATGAAAACTTTACGTTAATATCATTCACCCTAAAAATTAACGTTCTTTCCCACGATTCTATTCTTTTCGATTGTGAATTTATATACTTTATATATTTTAGGGGTTGATATGAAAATATGTATGATCATGTTTCTTTGTTTGGTTTGATTGAAATTTTATAAACACTTCAGGTTTTAGGTTTTAGGGTTGACATAAGTGGTAATTGCTTGATTATTGTCCTTATTTTTTTGGTGGAAGCTAGTAAAAAATATGTCGATATATATATATTCATGTTTATTCTTTTGGATTGTGAATTTATATACATTAAATATTTTAGGGGTTGATATGAAAATATGTATGATCGTGTTTCTTTGTTTTGTTTGATTAAATTTTTGTAAATACTTCAGGTTTTAGGGTTGACATAAGAGCAACTATTTGATTATTGCCCTTATTTGTTTTGGTGGAAGCCAGTAAAAAATGTGTGATATACACACAGATAAAAATCACAGGAAAGAAGTGGAGAGAGGGAGGGAGAACGACTTTTACGTTGTTAAAGTATGGTAATGAATTTTTCTTATATAAAAACGGTGCAATTTTAAACTTTGGTAAATTTTTCTTATATCAAAACGGTATAGTTTTTAAATTTTCTTTAAATTAGTTGACATTATTTAACACAAGTAATTGATAGAATTTAAATGTTACGTGTAAATCTGCAGCAAATTCAACTTATGATAACTTAGAAAATATTTAACAAAAAAAGTCCAATATTTATATATGATTTTTTTGTGTTTTACTTTGTTTTTTCCCTATCTATCTTTTTCTTTCTCTCCTCCTCATGCAAAATCTTAATATTGATCAAAAAGATTTATATTCTTAAATAATAATAATAATTTTTTTTTTCCTCTCTCATTCGCATTTTTTTTCCAACATCACTAATTTTTCTTTTTTGGGTAGGTTTATACCCACAGTAAATATTAAATATGTATTTAACAGTTTTTCGGAAAACTGGTGAAACTTTTCATTTTCTTTTTTAACTTTTATCTTTTATTATCTATTTATTTTCTCATTCCTGACATACTTTCTTCTTCTTCTTTGTTTTTTTATTTTTTTTTATTTTTATTTTTTTCACTCAGTACTAATTGCTATCAATTTGAACCCATTTTTTCTCTGATGAAGAATTTGTTGGAGTATTGGATTGAGATTTTCTAAATTAGGTTCTATTATACTTTTTCTTTAAATATTTTTTTAGTTTTATTAACTTTTGTTTTTATAAATTTGTGTATATATATATTTCATATAACTGTATATTTTAACCAAACTTAAATACAAGAATCTAAATAGTAATTTTGCATTTTTTTTTTAACACCAAACAAGAGAACAATTTATTGAGAAAAAGCAAAATTACAGTCAAGAGAAAGAGCATCCAGAAGCCATTTAGGCCAAACACTCCACTCCAGATCACCACTCTCAACCAACGAAGCCGATTTGCTCACTAAATGAGCTACACCATTGACACTCCTAGGAGCCCATGCCAAAGAAGATCCCTTACATACAGAGAGAAGATGAGATACATCAGCAAAAACAACATATAAGGACTCAATTGAAGATTTAAGCTTCATCACTGGCTGGCAATCCCCTTCAACAATAACATTTGAATAGCCCCAAAGATGGATTAGTGAAAGACTTTCACGGAGGACAAGGCCTTCAGTCTGAGAAGGACTACCCACATGAGAAAAGAAAACGGAGGCCACTTTCACAGGATAACCAAAATAATTTCTGAGAATCAAACCACCACCGCAAAACTACCGAGCTGGATTAAAAGCCGCATCAATGTTAAGTTTGAAAAACCCCATAGGTGGAGGGCTCCATTTTAAAGGATGTTGAAACGTTGGGGATAACGAAGGCAGGAAAGAAAGTAACTGAGACTGCCGATGGATCTCCTGAAATTCAAAAAAATCCGTAAGAGCTTTTTGAGAGGCCTCAAACGGATCCCAACGACGATGATTAAAGAGAAGATCATTTCGACATTTCCAGAGAGTCCAACAAATAAACGAGGCAAGGCTTAGGCACTGCGTAGGACAGGAAAACTGATTCCACTTCTCGGTTAGATCCACCCACCGCTTGGGCCATAATGTAGGATAACAACCCCCAAAATCCATCCTCAACGGACTTAATTTCTAGACCATGCAAGCAAACGGACATGTATAGAGAACATGATCAACAGTTTCAGTAGGATCGTCGCAAAAAAGGCAGGAGGGAATCACAGAATCACAAAGTAAGAAATATGGTTTTTAAATAAATATTATTTAATATTAATATATTATTAAAAGGCCAAATTATTTCGAGCCGCTCTTGGTGACTGTCGTCTCATTTTAATGAAAATTCTGCACTTTTTGTAATTTTTTTTTTTTTTGCGTGGGTGAAATCTTATGCAAAAAGGTCTGGTACTTAAAAGTTCGCCTAGAACTTCTAAAATTTTTGAGAATTTCAAGGCCGGCCGGCCTTGTTTGGCATGTGCAAAGTTTACAAAAATTACGCTACGGAGACTTGGCTCAATTTTTTTTTTTTATTTTTTTATATTTATTTATTATAATCATGCAGACATGTTGATTGACCTCTTCTGGGTTGCAAAATGAACCCGATTAATTGGATATTCATTCTGTTTAGGTTAATTCTCTACCAAACTAGGCTAATTGACTAGTGTTTAACTTGACTAAAATTTGACCAATTTTTTTAACCTTCAAGCCTATTTTAGACATAATTGATTACATTCATGTTCTCATATAATTTGAAACCACTTAAGTATGATATTGGGTTAGCTAATTACAATTAGGGCTTGACCATGTTGGAATACGCATAATTTGACAATACATTAAAGAAAAACATATGCTATCTCAAATATATCATCTTTTTTATTCATTATGGCTTTACCAATAGCATCTAGCACAAGTGGTACCATTCATTGTCAAAGAATAAGTGTGTTTAAGTAGCTGTGCAGGAAAAAAATATAAAAAAATTTGTGGCCTTTTAAATTCCACAATTATTTTTTAATTTATTTTTACCAAAATTAATGCTTCAACCTATAAACTTAATTATCTCGCGATTGTATTTTTTCTGTCTTGGTTGAAGATATTTTTTAATCATCAAAGTTTTCCTTATCAAAATTTGGTAACATGTAATTTAAACTCTCCTTTTTTAAAATTTAAGGCAAATACATTAAATCCTATTTTCTCACAGAGTATAGTATTTATGTACGACAAAGAGAGTTCATGCTTTTATTTATTGGATAATATTAATAAAGTGAGTCTTAGCTTTGTCGTTGGGTATTCATTTTTAAATAGAATAATTTGAAGTCTGAAAAAACATTTTAAAATTTGACATTACGGCCCAGGTACCACCTAAGCTGCAGTCGGGCGTAGCTGCGTAGGCTTGCTTTGAGTTTGACCGCTGACTCGGCAGACGCAGATTGCACATTTCAATCGTTGCAAGAGGACTTTCGTTGACAAATCAATATGATGGCTGATACCTCCCTTTTTTTTTTGGGAAGAAAATTTCCTCCGTTGAACACTAGTAAGTCTTGTTCTGTTTAATCCGGTGAACAGTAATACATCTTGTTCTGTTTAATTCAGTACGCATTTTACAAAAAAAAAATTGAGATATTTGCTTAAATATATCAATTATTTTATAAGGTATATCTCGAATTGAACAAAACATATCTAGTGTTCTACTAGAGTTTCGAATCCCCCTCTTTTTTTACCTAACAAACAAATAATATAACAACACATCTTTTTTCCTTTCTAATCGTAATTGATACTTTCACACCCCATCAAAGAATTATTTAAACCCAATATGAGTTGAAATTGGGCCAAGTAACTTAATGTTACAAGGGAGAATTGTTCCACATCGAATATAGATGAAAAATGAATAAATATAAATGAGTGGGTATGCAGCATTATTCAATACCTTAATCTTTTAGATACATGGGTAAGCGTCTACCCGTTACATTTGGTATCAGAGTTAGACTCAATTCTTAATCCGGTGTCACACCAAGTGCCGACTCAGAGGACGTCCGAGTCTTTACCTCGTGCAGACAAGGTGGCCCAATCCGCAACGAGGGTGTTGCAAGTTCAAGTGAGGGAACTTGTCTCACAATAGGAAAATGAATTAGTATGCTGCACTACCGAATAACTAAGTTCTTTTGGGTAAATATGCAACCAATTATGGCAACCCCTCGAGAATCAATACATTTTGTCTTTACATGGACTTAAACCTTCCAACCTAATATAAAATTTAGTTTGAATAGCAAGAAAAATAAGATTTTGAGAAAATTCACCTTACATAACTATGTTCTCATAAAAAAATAAAAAAAATTATATTAAAAACACAAGAAAATTTTCATTTCTTATAAATTTTTTACTAAATTACAATGTTGCTCTTTTATCTTTTATCTTATAAGTTTCGTGTATACACTGAATTACGAAAGGATAATCCCAAAGGCTCAAGTGAGCAAGTCATTTGATTTTAATGCCTCATGAAATATCAGGCCCAAAGTTCGACTCCCCTTTAATACAAACAATTCCTTAAAAGGGGTGAATATCAAGTAAGAAAAAAATTATGAAATGATAATTTCACTAACTTTCTTCAAAATTTCCATGCATGCTAATCAAATGCATATTAAAAAAATTATTTTCGGTTCAATTTGATCCAGTGTTATTTACTTCACTTTTAACAATTAGTCTGAAGATTTTTTGTTCTGCCCTTCTGTTTCTCCTCGTATCACGTTGTTGCATCACTTCCATGCCATGACCACCACATTTTCTTGAATATCTTCCCATCTATGTTCTGTCTCTTCTATCTCCTCTCCCTCTCAAGCCCGTATTGGGAGAGATTAAGCCTTTAAATATCAGTACAACCAAAAACCGCCACCATTTCTCCTCTCCTCCCGTCACTCCAAAAGTAATATGTATCCATATTCACAAGTGGTTAGGGCGTCAAAATAATGCGAGAGAAAGTAAATAAAGAAAGTCTAAAATTGAAGAGAGACCAGTGAGGGAGTAAATTGAAGAACATGTAGATAAAGTCTCAATTTCTATCTCAGTTCTGCAGACCTAGGAATACGCATAATAGTCTTGTTATGTGCACACACACATGCATGTACAAAATGCAAATGCAGAAAATAAGACTGAGGAGAGAATATAGGTGTCAGCAGTTGTCTAGGATTTAATTTGAGGAAATCCAAAGTAATAATTTATAGAGTTAAATGCAAAAAATCTCTTTAAACTATTGGGGTTTTGCAAGAAACTCCCCTGAACTACAAGAAATCCCCTGAACTATCATTTTGTTACAATTTACCCCATTGGGTCACCGGAAAAAGACAAAAGACAACTTTGCCCTTATTATAAAACGACGCAGCTTCAAATATTGTCATCTTAACTTGATGACGTGGCAAAGAAATATTAGGAACCAATGGCATATTGACAACACACCAAAGAGAGACCTTACCTCTTTTTACTCCATCATACCACCTACCCACTTCTTTGCGCCATGTACAAACACACAAGCCATTTGTGGAAGTCATGTATGTTCTTCGTTCTCTACCAACAAAATCGAACCATCACAGGGACTGTGAAAGCCATATTCAGGGCGACTGTGAACAAAGGGTGGCAAAGCAATGGTGTTTCAATTATTAGATAATTCATTATGGGAATCTCTTTTCTCCGATCACTTCGACACAGACTTCATGATATTATCACCGGTGAGGAACCTACCAACTTTACTCTAAGCTTAAAATTACAATTACAGCTATGTTCAGTCAATGCACAGACAAAGCCCCGTGGGATGCTCTCCTCCTCGCATTTCATCATAACTACTGGGAGCTTATAGCTCTATGCATCATGGTAGTAAAGAGAAGGGAATGAACCCACTCCAAAAGGTTTTCAAATCCCCAAACAATCACTATATGTAACTGGAGAGCCTTTCGCTGCCGGTTCTTGATAGTTTCTTGGATGATTATCAGAGAGATGAAGAAGATAATGTCATACCATGCTCGTCATTAACCACTTCGGATACTGTTGGAAACTTATCATCAGACCATTTTGATGATACACTGATACCTGTTAATCTAGAGTTGTTGGAGTGCTTGACCACACAACCAAATTCTTCACGGTTTTGTAAATCGGGAAATAAAACATTAGTCTCTACTAGAAGCTCACAGTTGGAACAAGAGAGTGACATTTATAAAATGAGTTCAAATATTGTAACTGCACCGTTATCACAGCAACTGCAACAAGAACGACAGCAGGAGAAGCAACAACAAAGCCATTGCCACCACCCCACCTCCACCACCACCATCATTGTCGATGTCTAATTCACATGGCTGGAACTTCATTATTCTTACACCACCACAGACCGTCAAACCCAATCACCCATTGCCACCACCCCACCTCCGCCACCACCTCGATCACTTCTATCATCACCACCACAACGTCAACCAATCCAACAGTGATAGAAACTTCCGCCAAACCGAATCAAACCACCACCACCACCCCCATCCAGCCACCCCCATTGCCGCCACCTCACCAACCATAATCTTATTTTATAGAAACTCGAGTAATTCATAGAGAATCATCAAACCCAATCGAACCCCACAAACCCGCCCCATAATCTACAAGTAATACATAAATAAAAATTTATGTTAGGTATATATATATATATATACACACACATATATACATATATTGAACCTTACACAACATACACAAACAAATAAGGAAATTGATACGACCAGAGCCCGGCGCTGAACAGAGTGCCAGAGAGAAATTTGTCGATCTTTCCAAAACACAGCCTAATAACCCTTTAAGGTTATAACTATTAACTGACACGTGTCCCCTGTTGCTGTACGTTACTAATAATAGACAACGCCGAGGATGTTGGTGTGAAGGCAAAACAAAACGTCCCGGCGGAGTCAACCGATATCAGATAACACCTCCTAGGTTGCCACCGCTTCGCCGGCGTCGACGTGAGGATCAGAGTCAAAGGCGGTGGTCACACCTCCCAGATATACGCCATCCGTCAGTCCATTGCCAAAGCCCTCATCGCCTACTAACATAAGTACGTCGACGAACAGTCCAAGAAGGAGATCAAGGACATCCTCGTCCACTACGATCGCACCCTCCTGGCGGCCGACCCCAGACGCTGCGAGCCCAAGAAGTTCGGTGGTTGTGGTGCTCGTGCTAGGTTCCAGAAGCGTACCGTTGAGGGGTGTTTGACTGTCTCATTATAAGTAATAGACTTGTTTGGCGGTAACCTTAACAATTAAGGGTATTTTTGTCATTTCATGTGTATAAGGGCACTATGATCATTTATATTCAACTTATGCACTATTATGGTCAAAACCTACCGGAGACTTGCCGGATGGAGTCATCTGCAACAAAATTACATAGTTCAGTAGATTAGTTACATTTTTTTTGTAGTTTAGGGGAGTTTGTTGCTGATATGGCAATAGTTCAGGGATTTTTTTCATTTAACCCTAATTTATAAATATAAATTATATACCCATTTATGTATAAAAAAATTTAGGCCCACCTTCAGAAAGGAAAATAAATTTTAGAGGACCCAAAATAATATTTTATAAATTATATATTTATTTGTATTAAAATTTAGTGGGCCTGTCTGGGCTTGAGGGATGGCTCCGCCCTTGTGGTTGTAACAGGCATGGACCCACTGCATTGATAGTGAGGGGCAATCGTTCCCCTGAAATTTTTTCTTTATTTAATATTACACTAGTAATTTTTCTTTTTTCCAATTTTGTACTTATGAAAGTTTAATGTTGCCCCTCTGAAATTACAAAAAATCTCACCTTTGCCCCCTTACATAATTTTCTAAATTGGTTCCTGAATTGTAACTATGTATAGGTGACGTGAGCCAGAGTAAATAGAAAAGATAGAACTGATTGTGGTGGCGGTGGGATATGTACCCCTGACCTCCGCCTTATTATAATATATATACTAAATTTATATATTTTTATACATATATATATATATATATATGAAAAAATTTATATAATGCCTTTCCTAAAATTTTTATTTTCAAAAATTATATCTTAAATTTTGCATCTTCTCTTTTTTTACTCTTAAATTCTTTTAATTTCCTTAAAAAAAAAAAAAAGTCAAATTTTTTTTATTGAATCAAACTTCGATTTTTTTTCCCTTTCAAAATTCTCTCATTTTTCTTTCCTTCTAAGATTTTTTTGTTAATTGTTTATCTTTTTCAAATAACTCATTAAAATTTATATTTATTGTCGTGATTATTAATTTTTTTTTACACTCCTGAAACTAATTTCTTTTTCCCCCTGGCCACAGCGGATGGAGAAGAAAGAGAATGCAGATGGAGGGAGGAAGAGAGGAGAGAGAAATGAAAAGGGAGGGTATTGTTAATAAATGATGGGTATAATAGGTATTTCACTTTGAAAGGACACAATGAAATAAGGATTTGTTAGGGTTAAAAGAATGAAATACACATTTACAATCGTTGGATCAGAAAAAATTAAGAGCACAGATTTAATTTGGAATAAATATATATATATATATATATATATATATATATATAATATTCATTTCGAGTTATCCGAATACAACCGGAAATGGGCTCCGGATGAAAAATTCCAACCTGAATTCAGTATTTAACCAGCCGAGACCGAGAATTTACGAGCCGGGTTGAGCCCGCCCAACGTATGTCACTGTAATTTCACCTTTTCTAGTAGAAAAACACACAGCCCTTCTAGTTTAGATCATAGACAGAATAGCCCCCAACTACTGAACACAAAGGTCCCAAAAGTGGAAACTAGTTAAAGAGAATCCCTGCTACCGCCTTCTCATATTTTTCTAGTTCTTGATTTGAGAGTTCCCCTCTCTCTCTCTCCGTGAAAGACATAGATAGGCATAGAGAGATGGCTATAGCGGCTTCTGGACAGCTCAACCTGGAAGAGTCACCAGTATGGGGTTCTCGAAGCGTCGACAACTTCGAAAAGTTGGAACAAATTGGCGAAGGAACATACGGGTCAGTGCCCCTTTCTCTCTCTCTCTGTAAAAGCTTTTCCTCGTTCCTGTCTGCATGCAAGTTGAATCAATCGAGCGGTATCTACTATTTGATCATATGTTTCTCTCTCTTTTCTTTGTATTTCTGAAATTACGAGTGCAATAATCCAGTACTTCGTGGACGCGTTCGTATGGTTTTATGCACGTTCTTGAAGCACATTGAATTGTATATAATTATATATATGTATGTGTATGTTTCTATAAAAGATAGACGAATTTATGTACAGTTTGGAATGCTGAGATACTGCGAACGGATGTGAATTTGCTGGGAAATCAATTGTTCGCCCTAGCCTAGTTGGCCACGAGATGCTTGTCTTTCCTTTGTAGAATGCTTCCAATTTTGTCGTGATGGTCTGTTGTAGTTTTAGGTGTGGTATGAATTTCTTAAGAACTGAATTATATTCTCGTGTCTTAAAAAGTTTGCTTATGTTCCGGTAGCTACATAGAAATCAAATCATGAAGAGACTTCCCCAAGTTGGATTAGATTGCGCAATAGCTGAAATTGTTGGGAGATTTAATCTTCTTTTTTAGTTCTAGATGGAATGTTGGATTTGGTGTATACTCTTACTCATTAAATTACATTCTGCTGGATGGATAGGTGGGTGGAAGGAAAGGGAGAGGGGGAGGCTACCCTTGCCGCCTTTACCCAAGAAAAGAAGGCCGAGAGGGTATAGTTAATGGGTAAAAAGCAAGACTCTGACCTACAATCCCGTATTTATCTCTGACCTAGACTCGCGCCAAACAATCCAACCCGATCTCTGCTGCTATCAATCAACAAACTCCCTCCTCACACAATCCTTTATTCAATTGATTTGATCTACAATGACTAGTCGCAAAATCCATACAGTTTGTTGTGGTTGATAAATCTTCAAGTATCCAATGTCCAATGAAGCTCCTTACTTTAGAACTCAATCACACAATATAAGAGGGTGTTCTATGAAGAATCTTACTTGTGATTGAAAAATAAATTTATCAATTTCTCTAAGAATTGTGTACTTGCATCTCTCGTGTTTCGTAGAGAACCATAGAACTTCTTTTTAGAGTATTGGAGTGCTTAGAAATCGAATATGAATTCATTGGATGAGTTTTGAAAAGTTTAGAACCAACCCCCCCCCCCCCCCCCCCCCCCCCCCCCCCCTCCTTTTTAATTTGAAAACGCGTATTTTACTAACTCTGGGCCTGTTAAATCTATCGATGTATCAATCAACGCCTTTTAGTTTTTCTTCGATCGATTGACCTTTCGGTCGAGGCATTCTGGAATAATTTATGGAAATTTAGGTCTATCGTTTGAGCTTTTTGGCTGAATCTGATTGCACATAACATGATGCCATATGCTTCTATTTCAAATGATGAAATGGCATGTGCTCCTAGAAAGAAAAGTGCCTGAAATTGAAAATTGGTGAAGAATGAAAAAAATAAAATCCCAATTACATTGTCAAACTGTTAGTTCCCAAATTAAACAGCTTCAGATTGTAAACAGTTTATCGGTTTACATTATCTTAATTAATCACGAGGCTGGAGTGAATGGTTTACATTATCTTAATTAATCACGGGGTTGGAGTGACAGGCCTTCGGTGGATGTTACGACAGTTAATGGAAAGATTGTCACAGAGATCATGCACGAGCATGCTTAAGAAACTCCATGAGTAGTTGTAGTAGGCGGCAAAATATGAGTTAAAATGGTTTGAACTTATTTGAGGAACTAATTGGGTATTTTGGGCCAATGATGAGCTAGATGTCGTGACTTCACGTTCTTTTGGGGAGGGGGCAAAACATATCCTTCTATGAACTGTACGAGCATGTCCTCTGTCACCCCCCACCGCGCAAAAGAAAGCAAGAACAAAATGAGCTGGATCTCTTGAAGGGATAGCTGGAAGGCTAACGAGGACATGAAGCTCTTGCATGTGTAGCTAGGGTTTGTCTTTCTGAGCTTGTATAGTTCTTACGAGGGACAGTGATGGTGTCAGTAGTTATTTTTTACAGTGTTCCTGTATCAGGGTATTGTTAAGCTGGCTATAGTTTTAGTTTCCTAAACTCCACATGGTGAGCCACAAAACCACAAAGTATGGTACATGACTCATCTGAGAGTGGCATGCTACCCAATTTAGGAAGTGTTATCGATTGGCTTTAGTCTTCCTTCTCTTTTTTCTTTTTCCCAATAAGAAATTTCTACAATCTTCCCTCAGCAGAGTCTGTGGCTTCTTTGATCTTTATTAATGTTGACATTGTACCATGTATTGTTTCAGTTATTCCATTATTTAAGTATTTATGCCTGCTTTCGTGTGTTTATCCTTATTTATTTTTCTATTATTATTATTCTTTTTTGCAGTCAAGTATACATGGCCAGAGAAATAAAGACGGGGGAAATTGTTGCGTTGAAAAAAATACGCATGGACAACGAAAAAGAAGGGGTATTCTTCTTTCTCTAGCTAGTATGTTGATTTTTCTTGATTGTAAACCTTTTTTTTTTTAAGATTTAGTGTGTACTATGTAAAAGGTTGCTATTAGCAGGAGAATATGCGAGCGCGTGCGCACACAGTTCTAATAATAAATTTTCTGGCAACATTCATTTGTTTCTGCAGTTTCCTATAACTGCCATTCGGGAAATCAAAATCCTAAAAAAGTTGCAGCATGAAAATGTTATTAAGCTGAAAGAAATTGTGACCTCTTCAGGTATTTTGTGTGTGTGTTTGTGTGTTTTCTCATTTTCTTAGAGCTGCCATCACTTATTTAAGCTTAACCGATGTTTGAGTTATTTTGCGTATACTTTAAATATTCTGAATTTGTCTTTAGGTTCTGAGGGGGATGAGCAAGGGAAACCAGGTGAGAAAATTTCTTGCATGAAATTTAGTTTTATGATATTTTCCTAGGTTGACTCTTGGCTCTTTTGTCTCGATTACCTATGGTTTTTTGATACATGAGATTTTCGTTACAAGTTATAATTTCTTGGAGAATACAGATGGTAACAAATACAAGGGCAGCATTTACATGGTTTTTGAGTACATGGACCACGATCTTACTGGCCTTGCTGATCGTCCTGGACTGAGATTCACAGTTGCCCAGATCAAGGTATCATGACCATAAATAGCTAAAAGAATGTTTTTGTTTCTGATCATAACGAATATCTAATACTTGACAGTCTGCGAACTATATTCTTGCCAGTGTTATATGAGGCAACTATTGACTGGTCTTCACTACTGTCATGTCAATCAAGTACTTCATCGGGACATCAAAGGTTGTTGCCAAACTAAATTTTACTTTTTATTGGATCTGGTTTGTTAATCCTTTCCGGTTGGACCCATATCTGTTTGCTACCTGTTTTTGCAGGCTCTAATCTTCTGATAGACAATAAGGGAATTCTAAAGCTTGCAGATTTTGGGCTGGCACGGTCATTTTCCAATGACCACAATGGAAATCTCACTAATCGTGTTATTACTTTGTGGTATAGGTAAATGTTGGGTTTTATTTCATATAATAGGCTAAGTGGCTATTAATAAGGAAGCCTCTTCCTGTAACTAGCGTCTTTGTAGGAATATTCTCCACCTTTCTTTCAGTTGATCCAGATTAATATGTGTAATTTGAGCAGACCTCCAGAATTGCTGCTTGGAGCCACAAAGTATGGTCCGGCTGTGGACATGTGGTCAGTTGGTTGTATCTTTGCTGAACTCTTGTATGGGAAACCAATCTTACCAGGAAAAAATGAGGTTAGAAATGTTGCTTGAATTTTAATATTTCATTATGTTATCATAACAATTATGAGTGTTGTATATGACTAGGAGCTTCCAGTTCATGCCTGATACAAAATTGAGTTCAGTGGTCTAAATGGATGTAGATGGTTCTAGGCTTCAGCTTGGTACTGCTGTGTCCAGACATTTTTATTTTATTTTTTAAATTTATTTTTTAATTATTTAATTTTTATTTATATTTTTAATGATTATGTTTGTGAGAGTAACATTTGTTTTGGTTAGTAACAGTTTGTAGGAGATATTTAGGAAGAGGTTTCAAGTATGGGATATTTTTATTTTTTACACAATTTAAGCATCCATATAAATTAAATATGGCATTAAAACTTATTGAGAAGCAAATGCAATTATTCTGTTGAAAAATAGACTGCAAAAATAATGACCAGTAAAAACCTTGTTCACTAGCTTCTTTCCAATGCAAATGGTTACTGGTAAAAGAATCCTTAGTTTTATATATTTCAGATCCACTGATATATGATTATTATAGCTGCATAGCCTTTGCCAATGCAAATGTTACGCCCTACAAAGATCAGACTCAAATGATGTATTTATGAATTTGTACAAAATAAATTTGTTTCTTAAGTTCTTAAAAGGAAGAGCTCGAAGGCAGCTCTAGCAATTCTAGTTCAGGTACCTGTATGAATTATACATATATTTCATTAATTTTAGAAACTACAGAATGCAATTAGGTTGTCCAATTGGCTGATAAGAAGAAGAGTATTGAAACAAGATAGAGAGTTAACCCTCTAATTTTTCTTTTTCTGTTTTTGACACTCCCCACTAACGGGAGCAGAAATTTCAATTTTACCGAACTTATTAAATAATTCAGAAGACCTTTTACAAAAGTCTTAGTGACAACATCAAACAACTAGTAGAATGTGGCAGTATGTCTGTTTCTTTATTATCATATTAAAACGACAGTCCATTTCTACATGTTTCTCTTCTTATGAAATATTTGATTTGTAGCAGGACATATTGGAGCTGGAATATCAAAAAAATATCATAGATTTATATTTACCAATATATATATATATATATATATATTATATCTCATAGATTTACCAGTTATAAACCCCATTCCGTAGAGAATATCTTTGACCCACATTATCCTACGTGCTGTTTTAACTGTAGGCTGTAGCATTGTACTCGGCCTTTACGCATTCACAACATTTTACTTCTTACTCCTCAATGTAACTAGGTTGCTACCAAAAAAAAGTAAAAATAATGATCAACTGAACCTCCTATCCTTGTAATATCCTACCCAATTTACCTCAGAAAAGCCAACAATATGAATAGAGCTGGAAGGCCTAACATGGCCCCCGTTATAAACTTCTTAATATATTTCATAATTTGATAGACAACCTCTAATGCTTCACTCATGTTTTATTCATGAATTGACTAACATGGCGCGATCTCTCTGTCTCTCTCTGTGCATGTGTGTGTGTGGAAAGAGGATATGATATGTGGCATGGTATACCTAATAGTTTAGTCAATGAGACGTGTAAGTTGGCATAGCTCCATGTATATGTTCTTTGGAGCTATAACCCATCAATAGAACAAAATGATATGATGTTAAACCTAGGGCAATGACATGGCTCAAGCATGTCTATTCAAGGCCCTTCCTGGCAGCAACATTGCTTATGCATGTCTATACAAAGCCCTTCTCTTCTTTACTCAAAGAAGCAATGCACTTCTTGGGTGGTACGTGATTATTAAAGAATGAATCTTTTGATTAGAAGTTATAAAAACTTCTTAAGAAGAAATGCTACGCCCCGCGTGTCACAAGATGTGGGGCATTCTAATTAAAGGGTCATTCTGACTTTCCCTATCACCATTATCCGGAATCCATATTTCTTTTTCTGAAGATCCTGTAAAGAGGCATTCTTAAAGTTGAGCTAGTAAAGAATCCAGTGACATATTAAAACCTCGACAGAATTAAAACAGGCAGCAGATGAAAACATCTCACAATAGTCAAGCCCAATGCTTTAGTATAACATTTCCCAACAGTTGAGCTTTCAAATACCCAATAGTCCCCTCAGGGAGTTGTATTTCACCCTTGCTTTCCTGGAGGCAAAGAAATGTCTTCGTACTTATCATTTTGCTCAGGCTTGGGTTAAGATTTCCGTATCTTGGGTTGACTCCTCAATCTGCCCTACTTGCTCGAGTTGTAGCCCTAGTGTTCCAGAGCCTAACTTGGGGATGAGTTCTATCCAACAGGAGGGGATTGATGAAGAACAATTTGCCAATGCAATCTAAACATAGGTGAGGGGTGCCAAGAACACCGTCTTACTTGAAAGCTGACTCTTGAGGTTTTTGGTACTCATATTTTATTAAGAAATAATGGATCGTCTTGACTTGATTCGATTTTGTTTATTTGGTAACTGGTAAATTCTTTGGAACCTACCAATTTCATGTCTTGACTACTTCAGAATTTCTAGCGTACTTGTATATATATATGTATATATATACGGTTGCATTGGCCTAGGGCCTGAGAAGTTTTTATCAATAACAGTTATTCTTCAGATAGTTTTCTTCTCTTTCTTGCTTGTGGACTCAAGGAACCCCTAGTGGATTCTAGGGTTTGTTCTAGGGTTGAAGACTTCAGCTTATCTCAACCATTTCAAATGTCATTCTTGCTTAGAGTAACCAAATGCTTTAGAGAGTGATGCTTTCTACAAAGCCTCCATGACCACTTCTTTTCCAGAGACCTCTTCTTACTTCTTAGAGTTTGTGTTACTTAGACCAAGCTATCATATTGCTTAGATATTATACTGTCACCTAGTCAATGAGATGATCCTAGCTCTTACTGACTGTGCCTATCAAAGAAAAATGCTTCTGCGTTTGTAATATTATTCACAATAATATATTTTAGTGACTTAAAAAACCATTCCGCTGACTGCTTCATCAGTGCGGCAAACAACTAGGTTCGTTACTTCAGATGTTCTTTTTCTGTTTGCATTTGTGTTTTAGACCAAGGTGATTGAATTACCATGTGAAGCTTGCATTAATTTCCTTCCAAATGTATGTAAATCTCTTTTCCAATGTGGCTCTTGGAAATTCTAATTCATCTGGATTCATTGTTAGATGGGGCAGCAATTTTTGCAATCAACGAGTTGTTCAAGTAACCAGTGGATAACATCTAGAGCATTGCAGAATTATTATTGATGAAATTATTTTGTAATCAATTAAAAAACAAGTTGAGGATGAAAAGTTTAATCACATTTTGGTAATATGGTGTACTATGCTACATCTTATCAATAATTATTATTTTACTATAGATGAAGCTGAAACTAGAGCTTATGATGTAAATATTTAGGAATATTCAAATTTTATTTAAATTCTGTCAGGGTTAATGGAAAATTGATCCTGTTTCTATTTGGTCAACTTTTTATCGTAGCCTGAGCAATTGAACAAGATATTTGAGCTTTGTGGAGCTCCTGATGAGATTAACTGGCCTGGAGTTTCTAAGATTCCCTGGTATAACAAGTTCAAACCAACAAGGCCAATGAAAAGACGAGTTAGGGAGGTCTTCAGAGGGTATACGTAATATAAAATTTGAAGCTCTTACAAGTTTGGATATTTTTATTTCCCTTTTATTGTTGCAAGAAAGTCTGATTTTCACAATCCTTAATTGGTTTGCAGTTTTGACCGCCATGCTCTGGAATTATTGGAGAGAATGCTAAGTCTTGATCCATCACAGGTATCACTTAAATCTTATAGACACATTTGTGGCATCATAATCATCAGTTAGGAAACTTATTATCATAGAATTTTAGTTCTTTCAATATTAACTAGTATAAGAGCACGTGCAATGCACGTGACGAAAAATCTTTTATAAATAGACAAAAAATATGTTATAGATATATATTTTGTAAGTTTTTCAAGTATTAAACAACCTTAGAAAAAAAGGACAAAAAAAAAAAGAAGAGAGAAGAATCTAAGATAGTTTCTGTTAGTTTTTCAAGTAATAAATTACCTTAGAAAAAAGGGGAAAAAACAAAAAGAAATTAAAAGAGTTTCGGTTAACCAAAGGAAAAAATTATAAGGAGAAGGAAAATTCTAATTTGCATATGCTTATTTTTTTATATTTTGAAAGAATAAATTTGGATTTAACAAATTTGTTAAATTTTAACTTACCTATCAAGTTGTTATCCTTTATTAAAAAAAAAAAAGAAGTAATCATTTAAGAGAATCAACTTTGACTCCACCCCTAAATGAGTCCCTTTTTTTTTTTTTTTTTTTAATAATAAGATAATTGTCTGATGGGAAGATTCTATATGGTTTTATGGCTTTTAATCTACCAGTATAAAAAAAAACATAAATATTGACTAAGTCATTATGATGTATACTACATGCCAAACACAATATATTGGAGCAATTTTTTAATCACCATACTATAAGAAGGAAAAAATTTGTTTCCGGAAAAAGGACATTTGTAATATGCGACGACCTTGTGGGTGGGTGTGCAGTGGGCGGGTTGCAAGAGGCACCGGTAGGCTACCACACTGGGCGAGCTATAGGTGCACAATCCCACATCTCCTGGGTGTGGAAAGGAGAAGTGCTATATATGTAGGATTTGTACATTCCAATTGGTATGAGGTCTTTTGGGGTAAAGCCCAAGAGCAAAATCGTGCGGGTTCGGGCCTAAAGCGGACAATATCATGCCATGTGGTGGAATGGGTCGTTACATAATAAATCCCAATAGAAACTGTGGCACAAATCCATGTTATTTAGTTCAAATAGTATTCTCAAGAGTCAATTAGTTTTAAAATACTATGAAATTAATAACTAATAATAATTTACCATAAATAGAAAAAAAAAGTATAATAAATTTAAGAGAATTGGCAAAGGAGTAGAGTTTGTGTTTCACACAATTTTGTCACTTATATATAAATAATATATATATTTGAATTAAATTAAATAATATATTTATAAAAATTCTACATACATTTAATAGCAGTGTGCATAAATATAATAATTATAGATATACATACGTTTGAGAGAATTGGTCAGTTAGAGGAGTTTGCTTAACACAATTTTTTATTCCTTTAAATAATATCATATTAAAACAATGCATAGAGGAGTTTGTGTTTAACACGCTTCTTTTTCCTATATATATTATCTTTGTACTAAATTAAATAATATCTTATTTTAAAATTTCAAAAATTTATAGAAACAATATACACTTTTAATAGTAAGCATGTACAATGCATGTAATTCAAAGGTCTAATTGTATCTGGATATCTATTTAAATATCATATAGACATATCTATGTAGAGAGCTGTCTAAATAGGGAGGAAGAAAATGAAACTTAAAAAAGAAAAAGACAAAGTAACAATGGAACGTATTATGCGAATAAAAATGATACAAAATAAGGAGTAGATAGTTAAATAAAAAGTTTAATGCATGAAAGTATGTATAACTTCAAAGAAGAGTGAAAATAAACTAAAATTACTCATCATTTTTACCTTTTAATGATTTTGGATAATTTAAATGAAAGGTTATTGCTTTAAAAAAATTAGTACATTTAAGTATTTGTAATAAGATAGAACAGTCTTGTTAAACAAATATTCAATATAATTAACTAAACTAACCAAATCAAATCCTAAATTAGTTTGTAGGTCTCAACAAAAAGGAATTCTAAGTTAAAGAAACATTTAGTAAGAATTCCAACTGTAGTAATCTATGTATATATATATATATATATATGGAAAATATATATATAAATTCCAAATATGCATATAAAATTAAAATTCAATTGATTGCATTGCATGTAATTAAAATGGTGTAAAATATAAAGGTATAATACAGCCAATGTATTAAAAAAATATTTGTAGAAAAAATGTGAAATTCAAGTGTAGCAAAACTATTAAAGCAAAATCTAAAATATGAGCTAAAACAATAGACAGTTTAAATTCCAATTTAGTTCCATTTTTTACCTTTAGTTGCTGGTTCCAAAATTATATACTTTTGATCCAATTATATGAAGGAAATTAGAAGTACAGTAACAGATATTTATGTCACCATAGGAAAAACTAAAGAAAAATGATTTATTTCTTTATTTTTTTACCTTGAAGAAAAATAATTAGAAGGCCCTAAACCCCAAGGGGATGGCTCAAGTGGGTTAGTCACTTGGCCCTGGTGCCTCATGAAGCATCAGGTCTAAGGTTCGACTCATCTTGGGTGCAAACAATTCCTTGGGGTGGGTGGGGGGAGTATCAACTAGGGTAAAAAATAATTGGAAGGCCTTTATTGTACATTATCTTCATCATTGTTACGCTATTTTGCAGTTTAATTCTTCTCATGCATAGATGGTGATAACAGACTAATATACATACACACAAACACACACATATATGCACTATATATACACATATAAATGCATGGTGGTATGTACAGATATAAAAGAAAGACAAACCTGACCAGTCTCTTTGTGCAAATACACCACATTGCCTTTTCCACCTCTCTCTATCAAAATCAACATATAAACCTACGAATCAACCTATAAGAGTAATAAAACTGTTTTTTTCATAATTAAATGAACATTACAAAAAGTAACAACAAAAGAAAAAATATAAAAATGCCAGTTAATTGGGGATCAATTAAGCATCTACATAAATAATATTACGAATATATATATATATATATATATATATATATGCAAAAGCACTTGGAAATGCCAGATTCTGCAAGGAACTTTTGGTACAAGTTAGATTTTTCAACCATTAGTCTATTAAGCCATTGTATAGATTTCTCATTCGCACTTGGACAAAAGCAGATCCAAATAAACTTGCTCTAAGCAATGGAGCTATTTTATATACACTCTAAAGTCCCATTTGGAGAAGGGATATTTTGGCTATGAAAATATAGCACCAAGAGAGGTTGATGAAATTCATCATCCTGAAGTGCCTTCAATGGGATGGTACTTCATCGTGATGGTCCAGAACCTCTGGAAACCAGTGTTCAAAGTTTTTTGTGTGCTCTATTGCAACAACTGGCCCAGAGGGGAAAGAAGGAGCAAGTTAACTTCATCAATTTCACGTCAAGTACAGTCAAGGAAGATGGGGAGGGTGACCTATTAATTACATTGTACCGTCAAGAAAGATGATGCTTTTCTCTTTCTTTGGGAATTTTAATTTTGATAGATTATGGACTGTTTCCACGCTTGCATTTTGCATTCTCATTATGCAAAAAACTCAAATGACTAGGAATAAATTATATCAGATTGCTAGATTCCATGTAGTTATTTATTTTAATTTCTAGATTTTTCTCTTCCTTTTTGCACTGGTGTGGCTTGGCCCCTGTAAGTCATGGAGCTCTCTTTCAATAGTCTTTGGTACTACAACTTGGATTTTAAACACTTCCTTTAGTTCTCTACTTATATAATCACCTTAAATTTATGTAGAGAATGTCTGCAAAGGATGCGCTTGATGCTGAATATTTTTGGACTGAACCCTTGCCTTGCGATCCCAAAAGGTACGTCTCTTTTCAATATATGCCATATATAATTTCACTATTTTAATCTTATTTAAATAAAGAGAAGATTTTGATATAGTCATTCCTCTATTTGACGTCACAAAACTCAATATCAGGAGCTATGGCCTGCTTGGTTTAATTGTTTTTGAGAACTAAAAATAGAAAATAATTCTAAAATTATTTTTTTGATAGTTTATGAAGAAAAAGGCTTGATTTTAGATAACAAAATTTTATAGGTCTCTCTGAAAGCTGTTCTCTATTTTTTCAGAGTTTTTGAAAATTATTTTTAGGGATAATTACACTTACCTCCCCTGTAGATTGTCTAAATAAACCCCCCCCCCCCCCCCCCCCCTCGGGCGCTGCCGGGTCGCCCCCTTCTCCCTTCCTCTGTCAACACTGACAGGGGAGGTCACTGTTATATTTGAAATCGGGGAGGTCCCTGTTATTTAGGCAATCTACAGGGGAGGTAACAGTAATTATCCCTTATTTTTAAGAACTGAACCAACAGGCTTCTTACATCTGATAGATTTCATTCTTACACCTTTGATTTAGTTTACCAAAAAACTTCTCCGTCACTATTTTTGCTGATCACTGCTTGTCAAATATTTGCCTCTAGGCTAACTTAATTATGTCATTGATACTGCTATTCTTTTAATCACTCAGCTTGCCTAAATATGAATCCTCGCACGAGTTTCAGACTAAGAAAAGAAGACAACAGCAGCGACAAAATGAAGAAATGGCAAAGAGACAGAAATTGCCACATCCACAGCAGCATGCTCGCCTGCCTCCCATCCAGCAATCTGGACAAGCTAATCCTGCACCTTGGACTGGGCCTAATCATCCTGTAAACAACTCCCAGCCCCCGATGTCCGCTGGACCTACTCATCACCACTATGGAAAGTCCCGTGGTCCTCCTCCTGGAGGGCCAAACATGTATCCTCCAGGTGGAAACCCTAGCGGTGGGTACTACCAAGATCGTGGGGGTCAAGGTGGAGGTTACAGTGGCGGGTCATATCCCCCACAGGGACGGGGACCTCCATATCCGTCAGGCGGCATGCCTGCTACTGGTCCCCGAGGAGCAACTAGTAATTATGGAGTCGGGCCTCCTAATTATCCCCAAAGTGGTCAGTATGGAGGTTCCGGTGCTGGTCGGGGTCCAAACCCAATGGGCAGTAATCGAAATCAGCAGTATGGTTGGCAGCAATAAAGGTTGTGAACTACTCGCAATTAGCATACTGGAAAAGGAAAAAAATAGAACAGGAAAAAAGAACTAATGCTAGCAAATTAGAAGATAGACTGACTGAATAGCAATGATCCAATAGGGAAAGGAGAGCAGATAGAATTGAGTTTGGTTGTAGTTCTATCTGAGTTCTGTATAGGAAGAATTCAGTCTTAGGCTGTAGTTCAATTCGAGTTTTGTGAAGCATTAAGGCTTTGATCAGGTTAGGAACTTGTAAAGTTGCTGTTGCAGTTGAATTTAGTCTATTTAGATGTTTAAAAAGTTATGCCTTGTTTGGTTGGTTTGGTTTTTTTAAACCAATTTTTTTAAAAAAATGATTAAATGAAAATGATTCTGAACAGGCGTGAGTTTATTCAACAAACGTGAAAGAAGATATCTACTTACAGAAGAGGGCTAAGCCCAAAAGGTGGGTAGTCATTTTCCAAGTCCAATGGACCCTTCCATATGCAGTGATACTATCATACTATCCAATCTGCAATTGGTTTGTGTGTGTGTGTGTGTGAGAGAGAGAGAGAGAGAGAGTAATGTTGGTCATCCACCCTCTGCATGCCCTAATGAGCTTTGACGGGCTTGTCAGTCCCACTCTTTACCTACTCAAACAATCACTTGCAAGTCCCAACATGCTTTGGAATGGACCATTGCTCTGAAATAAGTTTGCCCAATGTGTGGTAGTTGATTATTGATTGTTATAATGTTAATGCGACCTAACCTAAAGCTAAAGTCCATGTCAAGACTCATTTCGCCTTTATTACTTCACACCGTTGCAATCTTAGCCAAATACCAACTACTAGTAAATTCTACTGGTAATATTCTCCACTTAAATGGTTTATTTGTGTACCTTTATTATTCAAATATGTTTCAGTAGTCTAGTGGTATCATACTCTTACGATTTTTCATGAGACAACTGGTGCGTGTCTAACCAATGTAAAGAACCTACGTGTTTTATCATTTTTTATTATTATTTTTTTTCAATTATAAGTTAGTATAGTGCAAGACCGTGTGCTCACATTTCATGTTTATGTAAAGAGTACTTTTATAAAATATTTCGATTTTTATAGTTACCATTAATAAATAGAATCTGAAAAGGACTCTTGTCAATTTTTTTAAAAATTAAAATACTTTTTTAGATGTTTATGACAATTATTAATTGTTACATTAAGGCGATTGTACAGTTAGATAAAAATAGTAGTCAAATGTATTATTTTCTTTATATAAAATAAAAAATAAAAAATTATTTGATATATTTTCAAAAATTATCTTTAAAAGTTAATTCAGCTGAGTGGAGAATTTTTTTTTTATATCTGAAATTTATTCGGTTGACAGAAACAAAAATCACAAGTAGGTGTCAAAATCTTCATCGTGTGGTGTGGGTCATTTTCAGGCAATTTCAGAATGCATCACAGGCAAAGGTCGGTTGCAAAACTCTGAATAGTATCACCCGTGACTCCTCTTCTTGCAGTTTGATTGATTTGTCGTTAGGGGAAAGCTCTAAAATTCACGTGCAGCTGTCTGTGTGACAGTGAGACAAATAAACCTAGAATTACAAAAAATACCCTTCTCTTTCAATAATTTGCCAACATGTATTTCTCGCATTAATGTTTAGCATTTACATTTTTTATTATTGAATCTCCAACATACAAATGTGAATTCATTGATGTTGATTCTGAAAATGAAAAAAATTAATTAGTATTTACAAGTTTATGGTCGAATAGGTCCCATGAGTTGCTGTGTGCACAGTGCATACTTAATACTGTACTTTTTTTTTTTTTTTTTTTTTTTTTTTTTTTTTTTTTTTTTTTCATTGTAAAAAACTTACACTCTTTTTATACTCCATTTTTTATTATTATTATTTTTTTTGTCAGAATGTTTATAGTCCTTTATGTTGTGCAATGTAAATACGTGAGTCAAACACCATCTACTAACATATAATAGTTAAACTTCAAGTGGCAATACTCTTTTAATTTTTTTTCCGAATAATGAACATTAATTAGGTGTAGAAAACAAATCCTTTAAATCACTAAAATTTGAAAATATGTTAAACTAGTTAACAAAACCACAATTTGTAAACCGAAAATTATTTGTTCCCGTTTTTTATAAATTTAAATTTACAAAATAAAAATTTATAAAACTATACAAATACAGTATTATATATACTCTGTATAAATTAAATATTATTGTTTTAAATTTAGTATGCATTCCAAAATCATTTCTTAAAAAAAAAAAAATTACTCAAAAAAGGAAAAATAAGGATTTGAAAAAAATAATTGAGATTGAAGGGCCGTAGGTCTTTGTTTTGTTAATAATTTATTTACGTGCACTACACAAGATTTTTTAAGATATAAAAGTTTAAAAATATCCTTATTTCTTTCGATAATATATATATATATACCTGTCACATTTAATTAAAATTTTTTAATCTATTTTTTATTCAATTGTAGAAGGATAATTTAGTCTTTTCAGCATTCAGGTCATTGTTTGCACCAAAATTGAATGTTAAGGAGATTTAAAATGTATACAACATATTATAAGATTATTATTTGTCCACAATCCTATCCTATAAAATATATACAAGGAGAAGTAGTTTAGTTATTTCACATTTAATTAAATTTTTTCACTCACTTTGTTATTTCACATTTAGAAGGATGTTTTAGTCTTTTCAAGATTTAGGTCTACAAAATTAAATATAAGAACTTTTAGAATGTATAGAAGGTCATACTACACTAGGTGTTGTTTCGGGACCCTAGTTTGTATCTCAAGGATATTTTCGTCGGATATTTTCGTCAGAATAAAACGATCAATGTGACCGTCATCAACGTCGTGATCAGGAGCTTTCCTGGCAAATCATGCCGTTCGGAAAACGCTCCCCCACTCCTGAAATAAATCTGTACATCTGATACGAAAATGCACATTACAAACTCAATCTCTCACTCTCTCTTTTCGAATCTCACACGTCTGAAGAAATCTTCATCTCTACACTCTCTCTCTTAGTCATCTCTGTAATGGCGGTCAATTCTGGCGAGGAGGTGAGTGTTCTCGTTTTCAGTTCTCTGTTTTTGATGAATAATTCGACCTTTGATTCTCTGCGTTGAGTTGCATTTTGAGCTTCAAATCTTAAATTAATTGTTGATTATCTTTGGTGTCTAACTCGCATTTTCTACTAATCTGTTCGCATTATAAATCTTAATGCTGTTCTGATTCTGAATTCCTCATCTTCATTTGCACAGTTAATTGTAAATTCTGCTAGTCTAGTTAGATGGAGCTTTAGAGAATCTATTTTGAGCACAAATTTTCAATTATCTTGGTATTTGTACTTCACCATATCAGAAACTGGTAAATCTATGTATTTTAATTCCCCTCTTTACAGTTCACATGTAAAATTGATCTGTGAGATTTTAGGATTTAGTCAGTAGACTCAGTAACGCTTTATTTGATGTTCAAATTTTTTTTTTTTCTCCTTTTGCTTCGAGTGGAGGTTTCGTACTTGAAACAGTTTAAATTGCATATACAACTCGATTATTATGCAGTGTAGACATTTTTTAATCTACTGTAGCTAAACCATAATGATCATCATCATTCTTACAAAAGTAAATTTTAATCATTTTTCTTATCCATTTTAGGTAAACCCTCTCTTTTTTTCTTGTGGATTTGTTTCTTGAGGCTGATTCACTGCCCCATGTTGTTCTATAGAATTTGCTCTTCCCATTTGGTGTCTTCTGAACTATTAATTAACTTAATGCTAAATAGGCATTTGATGGTCAAGTGACAATTTGAAGTTTGACTTAGTATGTGAAGATTCTATGTTTTCCTTCTGTGCAGAGTCAAGATGCCCATAGCATCTCAATGTTGCCTGACAAAAGCAAAACCAATATGCAATGTGAACCTCAGTTAGCTCTCTTAAGCCTAGTAGAAGTTCCCAATCCATTTAAGAGTGAGATGTGCTTGGATGCCCAATTGAATCAGAACTACATCGATTTACGGATGAAAAATCCAGATGCTCATTTACCATGCATTGTAAAAATCGATATCGAGAAGGGGAACTTGGAGACTCCTATGACCAAGGAGGAAACTGTAGAGAAGTTGAAGAGTGAGGGTCCACTAATGGTAAGTTATGTAAATGTAAAATGTTGGAGAATTATTAATTGGCTGTTCATATGATCTTTATGCAGGGCATTGTTATTCCCTTTGTTTCTAATATTGTCAACATTGTTTAGTTCAAGTTTGATGACTTCACATCATTTGCTGCAGAGACAGATTAGCTTACACACGGGAGAGAAATTCACGCAGATTTTAATGAATTACAGCCTCATGTTAACCAAGCTCCCTTTTAAAGGTATACGCATCTTCAAGCACTGTCACTGTCACTGCTGTTTTTTGGTGAAATATTAGGACTGTTAACTATATATGGTAATGACCAAGGGCCTTGTGGCCTAGTGGTATCTCCCCTACCTCCCAAAGTGATGGTGAGGGTTCGAGTCCCCAAAGAGGCAAAGTGGGTGTGTGAGTGCATGTGTGTTTCTTGCCAATGAAAAAAAAAAAACAAAAACTATATATGGTCATGTATGTTTTTGTGCACAAGTAATCACTTCAATTTTCTCTCTAATCAAGTAATAATTCAAAAGAACAGAATTCTTTGCTAGTGGGCATGCTGTTATGGTGCACTGGATGCTTTGAGTGCAAAGTGCTTCTGACTGAAAGATATTTCAAATGACATTCCTCCTAATGGCTTGGAGAGTGGACGTATAAGATAAAGTAAACAGACAAATCCTCATATTAATTTGCCCACACATATGCTTGTGAGTCCAAGTTAAAGCCATAAGCAGCACAAAGCATGCCTCAAGCTACAAAATCAAACCCGAGAGAAGACAATGCAGACTGGAAACTCCACTGCAAAATTTGTGGGGTTTAAAACCCTCAACATGGGGGAAAATGGGGAGGCACTATACTATCTAGGCAAAATTGGCGATTACATACATTGCCAATAGCGTAATTCTAGCTTATCTGGAATCTAGATGATCTTAAAAGACAACTTATTGAGATCATTTGCCATGATACCCATGCATGTCATCACCAATCCATTTGGCTGGTCTAAAGATCCGTATACATACATACATATATATATATATATTTATGTAAAGCTTCTTTTCTCTTGCATAACTCTTTTTCCTTTCTCCTTTACATAGAAAACATTGACTGTCGTAATTAGTAGCCATAGATCACATAATTTGGTTTTCTGAATTAGATCAATTACTTACCCTGCCAATCAGTCTACTTTATTATTATTTTAAGCTCTTGTTCACATATATTTCCTTTGGTTTAACAGATAGAGCAATGATTGAGAGGGTTCATGATACGCCTAGTAACAAATCGAGGAAATATAAGCGCTCCAACTCATTCAATTCAAGAAAAGTTGTTCTTCTTTTCTCAGTCTTGTAAGTTTGGGACCCAACGTGTCATTCATTTTTACTTAAATCTGACAAGTTCGTAATAGAACTTCATTTCCAAGTTGCATCCATTTCAATAAGATTTTACATATGGAAATTTGCACAGATGAAAATATTTTTTGCCTTGGAAATGAAAAAATTTATAGAGTAGAAATTATTTATTTATTTATTAGTATTATTATTTTTGTTTGTATAGAATATGGAATGTCAAATTGTTTTTAGTATCTTTATACATCCTGACCAATAATTGTACGATCTGACTCTTAAGAATTCTGGTTGTTCACATCCTTGAGTTTTGCTCTAGACACACACACACATTGTTGCAGCTTTAACTAGCCTCAATATAATTGGAGTGGTGAATGAATTACAATAATTATGAATAAACTATCCGAGAATTGTGTCAAGAAGAGACTTTGTGATGCATGTACTTTGTTTAAAATATGGATTTAGTAAATAAGATTTTCATTCAGGATGAGAAAAGGTGTTACACTACGTTACTCAAACAACCAAGATGTAATAATTCAAGATTGGTGCAAATTTTTGGCCAAGGGATATGAGTGAACATTAAAAGGAGGAGGGGTTTTAGCTTCATGAAATTTTAAATGGCCAGTATGAAGTTAGAATTACTTCTAAAGCAATTAATGCTCTAAGGAGGGACTTAGAGTACAATTTTTCAGACAAGTCATGCTTTATGATACACTATTGGATAATTGAGAATCATCAACACCTATTTACTTCTTAATTGTTCTTTCTTTTTCTTGGAAAGTGAAATTGTCAAATTACTGCCTAATTTTTTTGAGGGGTTTAATGGGAAGACATGAGAGGGAAAAGTCTAAAAAGAGGGTGAGTGGACTAGGGGTGTCCAAAAAAAGACCAATCTGGTACCATTGAGAAGCCATAATGAAATACGCATGTTGTACTAAAATTTAATAAAGCATAACACTAGAAAAAGGAAAATGTTCGAGGATTCTTGTATCTATTCCTAAATAGCCGAAATGAGCTTTCTAGACTTGAGAACAGTTTTAGTTGAAATTATACTCTTCTGCCTTTTCATTGATACTCGATTAATATTACGCTTTTCTTAAAATTTTCTTCACGTAACTTATAAATCGTTGATTTAATAAAATCACAATTTTGATTTTTATTATTATTATTAATTTTGTTTTGTATGGATACCTCTTGCAGTGCACATGAAGAACCTACATGGGTGAAGCAAATATGATGAGGCTTTTCTATTAGATGCTGCTCTAACTTAAAATTTTGGATGGTTAATGTGGAATATAATATGCTTTTCCACTTCTATATGCATGCCATGTCTGAAGTTGTTAATTTATTTTTAAAATTCATGAGCACTGGTTTCCATATTGGACTTGAAATGATAATGTAGTCAGTTACTAAATTTGTCATTTTTAATTTTTCTCCAATAATTGACTTGTGCATCTCTTCTTTCCAGGTCGATTATCGGAACAATGATACTAATATATCTGACCCTGAGAGTGAGGCAGAATGGAGGTGGGTCTGTTAGTGTCTGATAAGGTTTTAGCTTCCTTCCAGACTCTCTGCTCTGAAGGAGTCTCTGTAGATTGCTATTAAGGGGATTTTCTTTTCTTTAGTTTCTTTAGATCTTCTTACTTTTGGGTTTTTTTTTTTTTTTCTTTCCCTAGTGTACATAAATTGAAATCACATGCATACAGTTATTCCATGTTCGTTATAATTTCAATGCTTGTTATGAATGAAATGGCATTATGCATTTTGGGAAACCACTGTGAAAAGTACAACAGGCGAAACTTCACTGATATTGGCTTGAAAGAAATTTCCCAAAAGTGCATTGAAATAGTTGACATGTACCATAAGAAGAGAGCAGCCGAAATTGGGCCATGAAGCTGCAGAGCAAGCTTCTGCCACTTAAGAAGCCTGTACATTTTGTCCTCTCTTGGATCCTATCGTCTACTGCGACAGAATCCCTAAATGCAGTTCAGGAAAAGGTTTTATCAAAAAATCAGTAACTGATAAAGTTTGTAATAATATAACAATAACAGAATATCCCCTGGAACTGAACCGTAGTATCTGAGACAGACCGTTGCTGGCTACCTCTGTCCAGAGACTTGGAACAACTCATTGGTATGTTGAACAAAAAGAATCGGAACTGCCAGAATCTCATCTCACTTCAGAATTAGCTAATTAGAGAATCGGATTTGCTGAGTTTTCATTTAGGCATTTGGTGATTTCACTTCTTCCTCCCAAATTCATTATCTAGCAAGCACAACCTCCACCTTGCTGCTCTTTGTGGGATGTATTCACAGTAGGCTTCAAGTTCACATCAACCATGTCTTCCTGTTTTGTAGAGGAAAGAGCTTCCATCCCCGGCAAGGCAGAAGCAATCTTTCTAAATAATGGCTGCAATTTTAATTAGCACAGAGTAACCGTTTGGATTAGAATATGATATCATCATAGAGTCCGGACAATCCTTACAAATTTATTATGCCTTTAGGAAATATCCTACAAGAACACTACTCAAGAGGGCTAAGCATATGACATGAAACAAGAAGAGAAAACATTCTTTATCATAGAATTCAATTCAGGGTTCTCCAAAAAAAAAAAATGTATTAGTTACTCGAGGTTTCTTCACCTTGACATTAAATCCTGCCTTTGCACTGGTTTCTATGAACATGAAACCAAACTCACGAGCCTTGGCGTCTCCTTCTTCAATTGAAACTTGCCTGTTAAGCATGAGAGCAGGAAGATTAGAAGAACTCCAGGAAAATAAAAAGACAAAATCGCTTATGATATTCAGGTATTTGCAAATAATTGAAGACCACTTATACTTCCTGTCCTTTCTATTTTTAATTTTTTTTTTTTTTTTTTTTTATATTTTTTAAGCAATCTATTACTGAAATTGATTTACTTAAATGCTGAAACTTTTGTTACCAGTAACCATACAGACATACAAAAGAATTTGTTGTTGAGCAAAGCCAAACAGAGAATATATGATCTATCAGTTGATTTCCCACCTTTTTTCGACAAGATCAGTTTTATTCCCAACAAGAACAATAATGACATCACTGCCTCGTTCTGTACGTACGTCTTCAATCCATTTGGAAGTGTTCTTAAACGATTGACGATCTGCAACATGACAATTTTGCATTGATAATTATAAAGCAGAGAAGTTTTAGTGAATAGCAAATATAAATTCTGATACAAAATAATTTAAAATTAAATTGAGGGCGAGCCTTGGCGCAATGGTAAGGTTGCTTCATTGTGACTTGGGAAGTCATGGGTTGAAAACACGGAAAGATATCATGTATGTACTACACACGCATGTCATGCAGGTATATGCATGTTTGCATAACCTTACACATATTTACAACCTTTTTTACACGAGAAGAATCTGCAGAAGCTGTGTGAGGAGGCCCCGGACGACATGGGCCAGATCCGACTCGCAAACACAACATTCAGTTCGTACAGCTGGGTCAGCCCATATAAAGACACTGCCATATGGGCCGAACGGGAGTAAGCCTATCAAAGGTGACCAGGGCTTATGGAGGAATAGGCCCAGATCCAGCAATCAGTAAATATCTTGTAAATATCTAGTAAATATCTTGTAAATATCTATAAATAGGATATTGAATGGAAAGGAGAGGGATCTTTTTTGGTTTGAGGTGTAAGAATTCTAGAGAGAGAAAGAAAAGAAGGAAACTCTTGCATCTTCAATTGGCGCCGTCTGTGGGAAACGCATGGAAGTTTGGTTGATCAATGAGGAATATCGAATGGATTCAAACCAATTCGGTTGATCGAGACTCGATCTTTGGGATTTGAATCCAGATCTGAGCGATTGTGACCTACTCTGGAGGAATTACAATTCTTGAAGCTTTGGCAGGAGTGACTTCAGATCTACGCAACAACGAGTTGTTCGATTGTGGCAGGATCTGACGGATTTAGAGTTCAGACAATTCAGAACTCGTAAACAGTGAGCATAATTCGGAGAATTAGAAGCCAGATCTAAAAATTCCTACTCACGAAGCTCGGATCTACTCGCGAACTTGAGATTAATGCCTTTACTCCGTTCGGGAATAATGATAGGTGAAAGCTCCAATCCGATGGAGACTGTCCAGCAAACAAAGCTTGAGGAGTTGATGAACTTGATCGACGTTCTCAAAAAAGAGAATGCAGAATTGAAAGCTGGACTGCAACATCGGCAAATACCTGCGGTTTCGCATCCACTTCCAGTCGGAGAAGGAGGTGTTCAATCTAATATCGCGCATCAAGGCGAACAGGACGAGAACAATCAGTCAGCTCATCACCGTGATGAAAGGATGATGGACAATTTGCTGCCAAATGTTCGTCGAGTTGAAGATCACGAAGGATCGACTCACGTTGATCCGCAGCGGGAAAGGTTCGACTGAGAGGAAGTGATGGAGGCTGATCGCCGTCGAATAGCGTCGCCTTGGCAAAGAGAGTTCATAGAGGAACGGTCGTTCGATCCGTCTTACCGGCCCTCCATGGTTACTGTCACTCATCACGGTTCGGAGGGCAGAACCGTAACTCACAGAGCTACCGCTGGACTCCAGAGAGAGAATGAAGCTCTCCGATCCGCGGCTCGGACGGTGGATTCACCATTCACCGACGAGATCTTGAATGCCCCGCATCCAAGGAAGTTTGCTATGCCAGTCTTTATTCTGTTCGACGGAACGACCGATCCGATCGATCATGTGTATCATATCCAGTTGAAAATGGCCCTGAATACGGAAAACGACTCTTTAATGTGCAAATGTTTCCCTACAAGCCTGGCCGGACCGGCGCTCAGCTGGTTCAAAAACTTGCCTAGGAGCTCCATTGGTAGTTTCAGAGACCTGTGCGATCGGTTCATAAGCCAGTACTATGGGAACAAACGCCCGCCGAAGGACATCTCGAGCCTATTCACGATGAGGCAGCACAAGGATGAACGTCTCCAGGCCTTTCTTACCAGGTTTAATCTCACTAAGAGTATGGTGATCGAATGCCACCCTTCTACGGCAGTTCAAGCCTTCAAGTTAGCCATGACACGCGGAACTCCGTTTCACACCAGTCTGGTAGTGAACACGCCGACTACTATGGATGAACTCAATGAGAGAGCCGATGGCTTTGTGCGCCTAGAAGAAGAGGAGGCAGCTAATGCTCGGACAACGTCGCTGGTGTCGACCGAGGAAAAGTCCAAGGCAAAGATCAGGCAGAAGCAGGCTCAGCCGCAACGTCAGACCTCTTGGAAGGCAGAAAAAAGGTCCAGGGAGGAAGAGTTGATTACTCCGCTGAAGGTCACTCTGGCAAGGCTGTATCAGGAGAACAAAGACAAGTTTCATCCACCACTGCCAATTAGGCAACCCCTCGAACAGAGGGATCAAACTAAACATTGTGCTTTTCATTCTGATTTCGGTCATCAGACTAACGAATGCAGGAACCTGAGGAGGCAAGTGGAGATGTTGATAGCTAGAGGGGAGTTCGCGAGTTATGTTCAAGGTTCGGCGATGGAGCAGAATCGACCGGTGGAACAAATAAAAAGGAGTCATAAACAAAGCTCCCACAATTCACAACCAGTTCGTATAATCAATGCTATCCATGGTCGACCCGAGCCTAGTGAAGAGTCAGATGAGCTGCTCCGGGTGCGCCTGCGGCAGGCGCAGATGAAGAAAAGGGTCGGCAATGTGACTACTCTACACCAGCAGAGCCTGTCGATGCAGATAAAGTTCGACTGGACAGACCTGCAGCGTGTTCAACTGCCTCATGACGACCCGTTGGTAGTCAGTTTGACAGTGGCAGATTGCCTGGTGCGCAGAGTTCTGATCGATCCTGGGAGCAGTGCGAATGTCATGCCGAGGGACACATTTGACAGGCTCGACATTAAACCAGAGAGGCTCAAGCCCACCGGAAATCCCTTGTTAGGGTTCGATGGGAAGAGGGTGGAACCCGTCGGGATGGTGGAAGTGGAGGTTCAAGCTGCAGAACGAGCTCTTATGGAAACTTTTGTGGTTGTGGAAATTCACCCCTCGTATAATCTCCTGATGGGAAGAGGATGGATTCACAGAGTCCGAGGTGTACCCTCAACTCTGCATCAGGTCATGAGGTGCCTCGGGCCCGATGGAGATAAAGTGATAGACATTCGGAGGGATCAGGTCGCAGCCAAAGAGTGTTATTCCGTCACACTAAAGCATGCTGGGAAAGGAAAGGCGCCCGTCCGTTCGGCAAGCCCCAGATAGCAATTACAGGAACCTCCGCTCGAGCAGAATAGGGTGGAGGAGTCAGTCGACTTGACCGAGGAGCCCCTTCTAGATGTGCAGATCGATCAGTCCAGGCCAGAACGAACTACCAGAGTAGGTATAAGACTGACCAGAGAAGAGCAGCAAGAGCTAGTGGATTTCTTGTCCCACAATGCCGACGTATTCGCATGGAGTCACCTAGACATGCCTGGAATTAGTCCCTCCGTATCCTGTCATTCCCTGAATGTCAATCCCAATTTCAAACCAGTGAAACAGAAGCAGCGAAGATTTGCTCCAGAACGTAATCAGATCATAGCGGAAGAAGTCGATAGGCTGCTTGATGCGGGATTTATCAGAGAGGTGCACTACCCTGAGTGGTTGTCCAACGTCGTTGTTGTGCAGAAGAAGAATGGGAAATGGCGAGTATGCATTGATTTCACCAATTTGAACAAAGCCTGTCCGAAGGACAGCTTCCCGTTGCCTAAGATTGATCAAATGGTGGATGCCACCACTGGGTATGAGCGTTTAACCTTTCTGGACGCATATTCAGGTTATAATCAGATTCCTATGGACCCCGCAGATGAAGAAAAAACTTCTTTTGTCACCGAGCGAGGAACGTACTGCTACAAAGTTATGCCTTTCGGGCTAAAGAATGCGGGAGCAACTTATCAAAGACTTGTTAGCAAAGTTTTTAAGAATCAAATGGGTAAGATTGTGGAAGCCTATATTGATGATATGGTGGTAAAGAGTAGGAAAAAGGATGATCATCTGAAGCATCTGCAAGATGTATTTGATGTACTAAAGCGATATGGGATGAGGCTCAATCCGACCAAGTGTTCGTTCGGTGTGAGTTCCGGACAGTTTCTGGGACACGTGGTCAACCGCAGGGGCATCGAAGTTAGCCCCGCTCAAGCAGAGGCTTTGATTAAGAATGCCGAGCCAAAGACGATCAGAGAGGTGCAAGCCCTCACAGGACGAATAGCTGCATTAAGTCGATTTATTTCAAAATTGTCAGATCACTGCAAACCATTCTTTGACACGATTCGGAACCATGGAAGGCAGGTCTGGGGGGATGAGTAACGACAAGCATTGACTCATTTGAAGGAATATATGCAGAATCCACCAGTCCTGTCAGCCCCAGAACCGGAAGAAAAGTTATTTCTATATCTTGGAGTATCTGGTGTCTCGACGAGTGCCGTTCTGATTCGTTGCAAGGAAGGGGTGCAATACCCGGTATTTTATGTAAGCAAAACACTGACGGAGGCGGAAAAAAGATACTCAAAGGCCGAACGGGTGGTACTTGCCCTTGTAAATGCAAAAAGAAAGTTGAGGCATTATTTCGAATCCCACCCCATAGCTGTTCTAACAACTTTCCCAATCAGAACGCTTATGCACAAGCCAGAGCTCTCGGGCAGAATGACAAAGTGGGCCATAGAGTTGAGTTCATTTGACATAACGTATGAGCCGAGAACAGCTGTTAAGGGGCAAGCGGTAGCCGATTTCTTACTAGAATGTGACACCGAAGATACGGAAGAGGACCTTAGATGCGGCTCTTGGAAACTTTTTGTGGATGGCTCCTCTAACCAGATGGGGGCTGGGATTGGGATCAAACTGCAAACCCCAGAGGGTACTTCCTTGAGCCAAGCACTCAGACTTGAGTTCCGAGCCACCAATAATGAAGCGGAATACGAGGCGTTGCTAAATGGATTAAAGTTGGCCAGAGAGCTACAGATCAAAAGTTTGACAGTGTATAGTGACTCGCAGCTGATTGTTCGACAGGTAAATGGTGAGTACGCGACCAAGGATGACACGATGGGGGCATATCGTTCTGCCGTTCTGCATAGAGCCAAGGACTTTGCAAAGATTGAATTCATACAGCTGCCGAGGGAACAG